TGTGCTTGTGTGTGTGTGTGTGTGTGTGTGTGTGTGTGTGTGTGTGTGTGTGTGTGTGTGTGTGTGTGTGTGTGTGTGTGTGTGTGTGTGTTATTTGTTTGTGTGTGTGTGTGTGTGTGTGTATACAGACATGTATATATAATCATAACACGTTCATAACAACTTAGCACTTGGCATTCAATAAATCGAATTAACATTCCAAAGGTGGTAGACAATATTATTTTTTCAAGACACGTAGAACATGCATACTGGACAAGATCATTTGCATAACAGCTTTTGAATGCAGGGTCTTTCTTTAAGACAGACTTTGAACTGTATTGAATATTTATTGTTACTGTTACTATAATGGCAATAAAGACAATGGGATAATAGTGATCATGATGAAAAAAATGATGATAATGAAAATAACAATGATAATGATGATGATAGTAATAGTTGTAACAGTAATGATAATGGTAATAATCATTATCAGTGATAAAATCATCATCATTATCATTATCATTACTATTATCGCTATTGTTATAATTATCATAATCATGATTATCATCACCATCATCATCATCATCATCATCATTATTATCACTGTCAATACATTAGCAAATCATTGTAATGATCATCATGATAACGATCATAGCAAACAATAACATCAACAAAATCAACAATAATAATTATAATAATGATCGTTGCAAGTCATCCATAACAAAAATAACTGTTACATAGTATATAGCAGATAAATACAATACAATAACAGCAATACTTGGAAAAAAAATACAACAGCTGGTTTATAGGAAGGAAAAACACGCTGTAGTTTTCGCAAAAGGCTTCTTGTCTTATGACTAGGTTTAGAGAAAGAGGTTGCATGACGCTGCAGAATGCTGCAACTTGCAACAGAGTAGGCCAGAGGAGGTGTAAACAAGTTAGAGAGAGTAAGAGAGAATGGGTAAGTCTTAGATATATCAAATGACAAATCCTATTTCGAATAGTTATTGAAACTGGGAATATATATATGTATATCTGTATGTATTATATATTGATGCTTTACAATACATCATTACTTATAATACATATACATTTTACATTACATCTATAAATATTTCATATGTCTGGTAATTTTCTATAATAGTTACCCCCGAAAAATATAATTTTGTTTGACGTAACGAAATTTGTTGTTTGTATTTTTTTTTACATTAGTTTGTCCCATTCCAAAACTACATTTTCTGTCAAAGGATTCCGAAGTTGATTCAAAATGACCTATATTTTTCTCGCCTTGAAGTACAATTTTTTTGTTTGTTTTTTTTCTTTATATGTGACCTTTCCATTCGTTATGTGATGTACAGGAAGCAATAAATACATATACAATTAGCGGTCTGTTATATAATTTCATCTATTCATAAATGTATTTATATCTATCTATCGTTCGCACACGCACGCACGCGCACACACACCCACACACCCACACACACACACACACACACACACACACACACACACACACACACACACACACACACACACACACACACACACACACACACACACACACACACACACACACATACACACGCACACGCACACACACACAGTAAAATATATATATATATATATATATATATATATATATATATATATATATATATATAGTACCACTTTCTAAAAATGGTCAAAACCGTTAACACCCTTGAAATCATCAACCGATTCTTCCCCGCTCCTCCCCCCCTTACATCCTCTGCATCCCTCTCTATCTCCCTCCCTCCCTACCCTCCTCCCTTCCTCCCTCCCTCCCTTCCTCCCTTCCTCCCTCCCTCCCTCCTCCCTTCCTCCCTCCCTCCCTCCTCCCTTCCTCCCTCCCTCCCTCCTCCCTTCCTCCCTCCCTCCCTCCTCCCTTCCTCCCTCCCCCCCCCCCTCCCTCCCTACCTTCCTCCCTCCCTCCCTCCTCCCTTCCTCCCTCCCTCCCTCCTCTCCCTCCCTCCTCCCTTCCTCCCTCCTCCCTTCCTCCCTCCCTCCCTCCTCCCTCCCCCCCCATGACCTTCGCCAGGAGAAAGTGGGTTTCTCAAGGAAGCCTGGGAGGAGGAGGGGGGGAGGGGGGAGTAGGAGGGAGGAGGAGGAGGAGGGAGGGGGAGGGGGGGGAGGGAGAAGAGGAAGTTGGTGATATTGATGTTATGTAGTCTTGGCAACATGTGCCGTTGAAGGTATTGTATTTTTTTTTTGCTTTTGTTGTTGCTGTGTTTGTTTTTTGTTGTCGTTGGCGTGGTTATTGAGTGTACGGGTTGGGTGTGTATTTGTTTGTTTGTTTGTACGTGTGTGTGTGCGTGTGCGTGTGTGTGTGCGTGCGTGCGTGCGTGCGTGTGTCTGTGTGTGTGTGTGTGCGTTTTCACCTTTATGTACGTGTATATTTACAGTGTCCATCTCTGCGTGGTTATTTACAGAACTACAATAACAGCAACAATAAAAAAACAACAACAATAACAACAACAGCAACACCTTCACCACAGCAATTGCA